AGCCTGATTCAGAGTTTCGTCAGCAATACCATTCACAGTTGGCAAATCTTTACTTACTGTAAGGAAAGATGTGTCGTCAGCAAACATGGTGGTTTTCGATGACTTAATAGTAGACGGCAGATCATTTACCATGACAAGGAATAAAATAGGCCCTAACACAGAACTTTGTGGTACACCAAATTTGACAGGAGAAGCAGATGACTTTTTACCAGCAACATCTATAATTTTGAATCTACCTTCCAGGTAGGACATAAAGAAATCAAGCTGAACGCCATGAAAACCCAGACACTGTACATTTTGACAAAGAATTAAATCGTCGACACAATCAAATGCCTTGCTCAGGTCGCAGGCAGTGATCTGAGCAAGGCTTCGATCCTCAAAAGTACTGATTAAATCATCAACAATTGATAGAACTGCACTCGTAGTGCTCTTACCCATCTGATAGCCAAATTGTGAAGCACTAATTAGGCTCAGCCGATTAGAGTAGGTACATACCTGGAGTTTTAAACTTGTTCAACAACCTTGCCTAATACTAGTACTATAGAAATCGGTCGGTAACTCTTTGGCACAGATTTTTCACAACTTTTTTATACAGGGGGACCACTCTTGATATTTTAAGCTTAGAGGGGAAAATACCCTGTTTAAGACACAAATTAATACAAAAGGTTAGAGGAAGCAAAATGGTCTCGATTACACATTTGACTAGATGATTAGAAAGATCAAAGATATCTTTACTTTTAGATTTTTTCATTATTTTCACAACACTGAGCACATTTGCACATGACACTTCAGCCGCGTTTACACCGGAGTTAATAACACGTGTTTTTAACAAAAAGCTATTAACATAACAGAATCGCCCAAAAATTTCTCTTAACAAAAGTTAATAACTCGTGTTTTTAACAGAAAATTCCTTGTTGTTAACAAGATTTATGTTATCCATCAAGAGTCGGTAAAGATCAAAGGAAACGTGTTATGTTTTTAACAAATGTTAATAACAAAAGTTAATGGTCTCTTTTAGCGCGTTAAATTTTGTTAATAACAGGTCCCTCTCTTTTCCCCGCAACCCCCGCGCCCAGCATCGTGCTACAGAGAGCGCGCTAGTCGGCCCTCAGTACCAACTGCAGCAGACGAAACACGTGGAATCAAATCAAATCAAATCATTTATAAGCCAGAATTAACAAAATATTGTACAATTTGTATTGGCTAAGTCATCATTAAATAAAAGTTAGCTTATATACTTAAGAAGAACTATTTACAGAGGTCTTATACAGTACCGGTACTTAAAGTTATACAGTTTTATATACATATCTAGGCTAGATCACTATTCATCGAGCTGATTTTATTTACAAATTCTTGGACGCTGTAACAGGTAAACTTTATCAACAAAGATTTTAATTGTTTTTTGAATTTTAACAGGTTTGGTTCAAGTTTAAGAGGAAGTGGAAGTGAATTAATAAGTGTTATGCCATTACACAGTAAATGCTTCTTGAAAAATGTTGTTGAATGTTTAGGAATTGGTAATGTATGTGAATTGCGCAATGTGTATTGGTTTTTTACAGAAAAGTCAAATTTAGAAAATTTTTGTCTCTAAAATGTTAAAGATTCAAGAATGTAAATAGATAGGAATGTCAAAGTTTTTGAATTGAAAAAATATTTACGGCATGATTTGCGCCTTTTTAGAGAAAAAACAGTTCTCACAGCCATTTTTTGGAGTTTAAACAACATTTTAGTCTGCTGGCACTCGCAATCCCAAATAGGAACGGCGTATGCTAAGTGAGGGATAAATTAGCCCATAGTATGCCGTCAACAATATCTCCAGATTCTCATTGTTCCTGAGGTTACGCAGAACGAAAATACTAGAACTGAGTTTTTTTTAAAATGTATTTGATATGGTCATGAAATCTAAGATTCTCGTCTAAGATCAATCCAAGGAACTTGACATTTGGTGTAGGGTGGACCTCAGTTTCGTCCAGAAGGAGACTAAACCCACTGTTTGATCGGTTTGAATTATTTGATAAACGGAAGTTAATGAGCTGCGTTTTGTCTGTGTTGATTTTCAATAAACTGGCGGAGTGACTTAATGTTTTTAACATAAATGTTTTTAACAAAAACTGAAGTACAAAATAATTTGTTAATAACTTTATGTTATTAACTCCAGTGTAAACGCAGCTTTCCTCCCATTTGAAGTTTTCTTCAGGCAAAGGTGAATTTTCCATGAAGTCAAGCGCAGTAGTCTGGGTTGAATGATGCTGTCTCTGGCCTCCTGAACAGCTGAAATGTAGTACGAGTTAAACTCCTCTGGGGGAATCTGGATCTCTGCTGACTTGACGCTCTTGCTCCTGTAATGTTTCAATTTAATTTAACCATTTTAGGCTATGTTATGCCTAGGCTAGGTTAGGTTTTTGTTAGATAAATTGTAATAAAAGTAGGCCTATTTCACATTTTAATGTTTTAAATATTGCTTAATGTTCTATAAATTACTAATGTAACAGTTTCTAATAGTTTATTTTGTAAATAATGCTAACTAAGAATATTTCTACCCACTTACCTAGGTTAGCCACCCACCGTATTTAGGTTAGGTTATCCATTGTACATATTTAAGTGACACAATAACAGTTATAAATTTACATTTATTTCACAAACAAAGGGATAGCTATGTAAATATAACACAACTAACTAAATAATTAAAACATATTTATTTATTAGATTTGTGTGAATGTTTGTTTATTAGTTTACAATAGCTTCTCTGACAGCTCGAGCTCCAGCCGACAGCAGCTGATGGATCAACGACGATCAAGTGGGCAGCGATGACGTCAGGTTGCCGGAAAAGGAAGTTAATTTTGGTGGAAACATCTGGGTTTAAAGTTCTAGAACATTCCATGGTCTCCATAGCAACCAAATCGGGTATAAATACAGCTGTCCACGGACCAGTCTTCACTAGTTGACAGTCAGTCACTCAGACAGGCGCTGCGGGTGTAAACCATTTGTCAGGCGCAAACAAAAACAATAATTGTAATTCAATTTGCGAAAGGAAAATAAAAGAAAAAGGTCAGTCCCAATTGTGTACTCATTTGAAATAGTAATAAGGTAATTAGATAAGTAAGTAGGATATAAATTATAATATACACAAAGCATTTGTCAGGCCCCGGCAGACCGCTGGTGCTGCGGCTTAACACTATACACTCACGCACATTCGGTAGTTGCCTTGCACCTTTTTAAGAGTGCTGCGACCGAATTAACACTTACAAGTAGTGGCACTAAACAATTTAACTCCATACAAAGCATTTGTCAGGCCCCGGCTGACCGCTGGTGCTGCGGCTTAACACTAAACAAGCACGCACATTTGGTAGTTGTCTGGCACCTTATTTTAAGATTGCTGCGACCAAATAACACTTACACATAGTGGCTCTGTATAACTTAACATTATATCTCATGTTTCACACATTCTGCAGTTAAGATAAAATCAGTCACGTGGCAAAGAACCCATCCCTGAGAAACTTTGATAAAAATACAAAATAAAATAGATACAGTTAAATGAAATTCAGATTTAAGTCATTGAGACGTTACACTCCTTATATTATTTACAAGTGTCCAAGCAGCCTTTAACTTGTTGTCAGACAATTCTATGTATTCAGCATTGTAATTAAATTTAGCTTTATTAACCGCCTCCTTGTAAACTTGCTTGCTTTTCTTATATGCCAGTTCGGTTAAGTTGCTTCGCTGAACAAGGAACATAGTTCTGAAGGCCATCATGGTATTTTTTAGATCAAATCATTCAGATTAGAAAAAGTGGGAGAGCTACTGGAAAGTTCATTGTATGTAAAAAGAAGCAGAGTTTGGCTCATAGTGGGAGAGCTACTGGAAGGTTCATTGTAAAAGGAGGAGAGTTTGGCTCATAGTGGGAGAGCAACTGGAAGGTTCATTGTAAAAGGAGGAGAGTTTGGCTCATAGTGGGAGAGCTACTGTATGGTTCATTGTAAAAAGGAGGTGAGTTTGGCTTATATTGGGAGGGCTACTGGAAGGTTCATTGTTCATTGTAAAAGGAGGAGAGTTTGGCTCGTAGTGGGAGAGCTACTGGAAGGTTCATTGTAAAAGGAGGAGAGTTTGGCTCGTAGTGGTAAAGCTACTGGAAGGTTCATTTAAAAAGGATGAGATATTGGCTCATAGTGGTAGAGCAACTGGAAGGTTCATTGTAAAAGGAGGAGAGTTTGGCTCATAGTGGGAGAGCTACTGTATGGTTCATTGTAAAAGGATGAGATATTGGCTCATAGTGGTAGAGCTACTGGAAGGTTTATTTAAAAAGGATTGAGAGATTGGCTCATAGTGGTAGAGCTACTGGATAGTTCATTGTAAAAAGGAGGAGAGTTTGGCTTATAGTGGGAGGGCTACTGGAAGGTTCATTGTTTATTGTAAAAGGAGGAGAGTTTGGCTCGTAGTGGGAGAGCTACTGGAAGGTTCATTGTAAAAGGAGGAGAGTTTGGCTCGTAGTGGTAAAGCTATTGGAAGGTTCATTTAAAAAGGATGAGAGATTGGCTCATAGTGGTAGAGCTACTGGAAGGTTTATTTAAAAAGGAGGAGGGTTTGGCTTATAAGGATTGTTTATATTAGAGTTCCAAATTATATGAAGTTATAAAAATATGTGTCTGGGAAGCACTGTAAATATTTAGTCAACCTTACTTAATCCTCTTTACAAAGTTAAAACCACAAGGAGATTCATACAGTCTTGTTAAATAGTTTTGGCATAAAAAATGTTTTCCAGCTACCTGCCTTAGGGGTCAAACTGCTCTACTCATGTGGTATATACAATAGAGAATTTCTGCTTAAGAATAGATCAGATTAGACCACCTTTGTCAGCTGGTAAGTCTTAGCAAACAATATACAGAGTGTATCTAGTTGTGCTTTTTAAAAAGATGATTCAAGTGTGGTATATAAATTATTCTGGATTTTGATGTCTTATTTTTTATCATAAAAATAAACCTTTTACTTAGATTTCATTTCAGGAAAGTAACGATTTTGACTGCAAGGAAATGGGACCTATACAGAAAGAAGATCTGAAAATAGCAATTGATGAACTGAAATCAGAAAAGTTAACTATTGCCAATAGTGACATATATTTTAAACCAGAGTTACCGGCCAACCTCATTACCAATAGTTTTTTCAATACAACATCAACATTAGATGTTACAGTAAGTATGTTGTGTTATTGATAAAAAAATCATTAGAAGTTTTTAATGGGTAACATTCGTAACATTTTGATTACAGATTGGTTTTTAGCAAATTTCCTTATAAGGAATTTACTATTACAATAGGTACCTAGACCCCGGACTGATACTGTTTCATTTTTATGTTCCTAGAAGTTAAATACACTATTCGTTCAAATTTGTAGTATGTATGTATAAAGTAAGTTTGAACATTAATAAGCTTAGTGCTATTTTATGTAGGCCTATAAAAGGAGCTGTTGGCCCATCCTGCGTACAGGAATCGAGTTGTCAATTAAAACTAAAAACTATTCAGAACAGAACAGCTAGTTTACACGCATAAAGACAAATCCTGGCAGTTTTAGTATGATGGTTTAAGTATTTTTAATGAGTATTTTTAGTATGACCACCTATTTCTTTCATCCGATTACAGGTCTATACAATATGCATTTTAAATCTGAAAATTTTTAAATAAAACAGCAATTGTGTCGATTTGAAATGCCCTGATGTGAGATTGATACATAGTGTAGTTTGATTCACACACACTGGTTTTGAGTCCAGTAGAACAACATACCACCTGCCATTGCATTTTTTTCATCCCAGGACGCTAGGCACGAGCCTAGGGTTGTTTTTAACATATGGCTAATTCTATATATTAATAGACAAAAATGTTTATTGAAAACCTTTTTTCTCAGCTCCTGTGCATCGCAGGGAAAATCTACGCATACTGTTAGAAATATATTTGCCTGTAGATTAGCCCAAGCAAAATAAGAAAAATAGAGGAACAAATCTATGTATTCGCAATTTTTTCAGAAATGTGTCGGGGAGGGTGAGAATAAAATCACCCTGCCGCTCTGGGTGGGGGGGAGGTGGGAGGGGTAAATGCCCCAATTTGCGGTTTTTTGATTATTGCTTCAAAACAGCATGTCGTAGCTGAAATTGTTCAATGTAAAAGTTAAATCTAATTAAATTTGATACAACTATGATCATATACATTATTAGTGAAAAACGCATTTCAGAGTTTCAGAGATATCCGTGCTCAAAAAAATTGAATGTTCAAAAAAAGATTTTCACCTCACATTTTTTGTTAAAATCTTATTTTTCTGCTTCCTTGTTATTTATCAGAAACATTGACTGAAATAAAGTTGTAGAGAAATAAATTTACTTCAATAATATATACAAATATGTAAATATATATGATGTAGGTCAAAAGTTACAGTGGTTTTAAGATTAAAGAAAAATCGTTATTCAGACAAATAATTGCAAAGTCTTGTTTTTTTATCATTGCGTCATTTGTATGGTTTCTTATAATTGTTTAGGCCAAACATAAGTATATTTAAGATATAAAATGGTATAATAAGTAATGTAAACCTCTCGTGTGGTTACCTGAAAATGTGGTTTGTAGCCTACTTACTATTTAAATGGGGAGGAGGGGCGAGCTCTAGTACCAAAGTAATTTTAATAATTTAAATATCTAAGGTAGGGCTATCTTGGATTTACCCGCCATAAGAGCAATCTTAATTTCAAATAACCGTTGAAGAGTTATTTACCATCTCTAAATATTTGTTCAGATATCAAAGTGATTGCAATTCAAACGTCAAGGGAACTATGACATTACCGTAGGTGGCACGGTAAGACCTGGAGCCGGGACCGATATACTTTTTCATTTTGATGTCCCTAGAGGCCAAAAACACTATTCGTTTGAATTTGTATCTATGTATCTAAATATATAAAAGGCAAAGCCCTCACTGACTCACTCACTCATCACTAATTCTCCCACTTCCCATTTACGTAGGAGGCTGAAATTCGGTACACCGATTCATTGCTCATTAAATAGGAAAACTAAGTAGTTTTTATTCTGATCGGGCTTTCGGGCTCCACCCCAGTGGCTCTGCAGTTTCCAATGTTAACCTTATAATTTTTCATATTTAAAAGGAATTAATAAATCTTAACAGCTATTTCAATTAAACAAGCTGGTTCTGTTCTATGATGTTCAATAGCAGTAAAGTTACAAGGATTACCAACAGGGTGCAGCTCCAACCTAAAGGTGAGTGAGCGTAGCGAACGAACTTCAACCAGGACGTGATTGAGCCATGCGAATACTTATGAAGTTAAACGGGGCAAAAAACGCGGGTACAGCTAGTATATATATATATATGTCCGTAAACGCGATAACTTGAGTAATTTTTGTCCGATTTTTATGAATATGTGGTTTGAAGGTGAAAGGAAAGATAAATTTGAATGAATTCACAAACCAGCATGAATGGACCATGGGAACAAGGTTTAACGGGGGGTTTTATAGGGTAAAAATAGGTTTTTCTCATTTTGGACCCTTGAAATATAAAATTTCCCTATTGAATTTCTCTGTAGAGCATTTGATAGAGCTTTAAAAAACAAATAATTTAGTATATTAATGTGTTTTTGTACGGTTGTTGTCTAAGGAGAAAATTCAAAAAATTGCAAATTTAAAATTCTCATGTTATTCTTATGGAGAATATTGTAAAATGTTGTAGTTTGCTTGTTTATAGAAATATTTTGATCAAACTTGGCAAATTTATTTATTTTACACTAAGCTACTAATATTAAAAAAAAAACACACACTTTATTAGCTTCCCTGTAGCGGCAAGCCTAGGTACTCGTTAAACCTAATGTTATTACTTTAAAATCAATTCAGGCAAATGGAAATTTGCTTAGCCTGCAGGTTTTTCTGTGGCGCGGGTATTATTAGTTAGCACAGCTAGGTTCCAAGGACTCTTAAGACCTACTCCATTTATAATACTTAATTAAACTGTTATTATTTGTTGTAGTCCAATTTTGTTGTTTAAGGTTTCTTGAATTTTTTTGGTATCATGAATTTTATTTGACATGGTCTCAACTGTACGTTAAGACTTTTTCAATGACATGAATGTATCATTACAACATAACAATAGAGATTTATTATTATTACGATTGTTTTGTTTGCAGAGCTCTCCTGTAATTCTCCCTCCACCACAGCAACCAACAGTAGTGTTTCAGCCCCTGGCGGGCCCTAGCAGCTACATTTACCAGCCTCCTGAACAAGGTGACAAGTTATCTCAATCTCTGCTCAAACCTCAGCTCGTATGACAATTATCCACAAAGTTAAAGTATGCTTGAATCCCTTATTAAAATTCAAAAGTAACAGGTTGCTTCAGCCACCCTAAGCTGTTGCCAACTTTGTTGCCGAAATTCTGCTGACCAACTGTCTTTATAACGGTTATATACAATGTGTGACATAGTTGGGAAAGTTAGTCAAAAATTCCAACTAGTTAGAAGTTATTAGTTAGTCCCGGAAAAAGTAACTGATAGAAGCTATTAGTTAGTTAGTTTTAAAAGTAACTGATAGAAGTTATTAGTTAGTTGAAAAACTAACTGATAGAAAATAAAGTTAGATTTTGTAAAAGTAGGCCTAGCTGTTTGTTGGGCAGTTTTTTTAAAGGATTTCGTATGTAATGAAATAATGACACATATTGGTAACAAATCTATACCATTAAATGAGTAAAGTTTGCGCACAATGATTAAAAAAAAACGGCTCCTACGATTTCCTCTAAATTGTTAGAAATATCTTAGTTTTAGGCTAAAAACAAATATCCATGCCAGGCTCTGTTCTGGGAAAATTCATTTTTCATTAAAAACTTATTTGAATACTTTTAACATTAGTCTTATGGACTGTCAAGTAGATTTGACAGTAATACGAAAATGTAAACAAATAAGCTTGTAACAAATCATATACAGAACAGTAGCAAATTACAAAATACAGTACAAAGGAAAAGGAATGCTATGAATTCTATTAAAGCTATCTTGAGGAGTATGTTTTATCTATGATGCTATTGAGAATTGCTTATACAGTATAATACAGTTGGGTCAATCCATATCAAGTGATCCAATGAGAGTTGCTTGACCATTTTTAATATTTTTTATTTTTTATATATTCCTATAAGGGAAGGAATTAATGCGCTACCTGCAGCACCCTCTGGCGGCAATTAATTTTACTGAATTTGTAGACTTTTACTCTAACTGCTATAGAAAGAAAACCTTTGGTAATAAATTACTAATTCTTTCACCATTTTGTTCACAGTAAAATTGTCTACAGAAAAGTGGTAATTGGATAGTCAAAGTTCAAAACTAAAAAAAATTATGTATAAAGATTATAAAAATAAAAATTTTAAAAACAATATTTTGAAAGTAAACTTGATATACAAATTCCAAGATTAATCCAGACACCAAATAACACTACTATTATAAAGTTCAATCCATTCCCTACGTAGAAAAATCAAAAGTTGTGTACTTTTATAAGTAATAACATTTTTTTTAAATTGTTTGTTTACCTTACCGCAGCTGATTTTTGGTGATATGTGGTTTCCATGGCAACACAAAATTGTTTGTTATTCGCTAAAATAAATGAGTAAATACGCAAATCAAGAAGCAACATATTTATAAACATTATAATAGTAAGAAGAAACAAAAAGGGCGAAAAATAATAATAACTAAATAACTAATGGCGCTGCCTAGCGGTGACACGAGCGGCACTCGTAAGTCGGCCGCCGGGCCTGCAGTGGCCGTACGAGTAACGCTCGTAAGTCAGCGCAAATGGGTTAACATAAACAAACATATCTTTTTTTCTACTTATTTTACACAAATGCAACCAAATTCATTTTGTTCATCATTTTCCCATCTTTAATTTTGGTTATGATCATAATCAGTCTAATTTGTACCCATATGGGTGAAACAAATGTTTAAAAACAAGCAACGGAAACAAATAAATTTCGCTTTTTGAAGCCTATTTTTTCCATGAAGGATTTGTAAATACTCAATACTGTTAATATTTTTTATTCAATTACACATACTAGTGTACTCTATGTAGCTAGAGTTATAACACTGATATATGTGTCCTCTAATTTTGGCAGTTTTTTGGAAATTATCGAATTATCAATTTTCGTAAAGTTTGGAGCTTAATATCTCTGATGGGACATGGGATAAAAACTTAATTTTTCCACAGGATGTTCTTCTGTATATGAGGAAAGTACAGTAAAAGATTTATCATTGATATTTTACTGTGGTAAAAGTTGTAAATTTTTGGAAACGGTAAGAAATTGCATAGTGTTTAGTGTAGTAGCGACTTGTCTACAGGTTAAATACTGACCTTTATTGCTTCAAAAGGCAGACAACTTACCACTTTTAAATAGATAACAAATACTTTACACCTTTAACTATAATACTTGAAATATTACAAATATTATTAGAAATTTTATTTGTAAAAAAAAAAAATTAAAATCGTATAAATGTTAAGTATAACACCACTTTCATTGACGGTATTAATCATATCATTACTTTGGTAAAAACTATTCATTTTGAAAGGCCTAAAGATTCATAATTGTATTGTGCTTCAGTAATTGAATGTTTTTATCTGTAGGCCTATAAGGAGGGCTTAAATATTGCTAGCTAATATTATATAAACTTGTACTAATATTATAAACTTGCCTAGAGTTGAAAAGGTTATTTACTTTTCTGACTAAAGTGGTTCCCAATTTAAAAATAAGAAAAACTTTTTTAATCTCTGCAACCACAAAAGAGAATTTGAATTAGATGCTGAGTGGCAATTTTTTTCCTCCTGCCATGGCAAAAATGCATGCGATTTAATTGGGGGAACAATAAAACGTGAAGTTAGTAAGGCCAGTTTACAAAGAACCTCAACAGATCAGATTCTAAGTGTAGTGAAGATGTACGAATTTCGCAAACATAACATGAAGGGATAACGTATTTTCTTGTCCGGAAAGAAGAAATTCTGACTCACATGAAGAACTTAAACCAGATTTGAAAACTGTGTACAAGTCAAGGGAACGAGGAGTTATAGTAAATTTTATGGTGTTTCAGAAAACACAATAAGGTGCTTTATAACATCAAAAAGTTACATTTACGAAGACCATTGCATATGCAAAATTGTACCATTGACCCTAGAAACTGACGACTTGGTGGCTTGTGTATACGATGGGCAGTGGAGGTTGGCACAAATTGAACAGTTAATTTAGGAAAATAGTTATGCGTATGTGCACTTTTACCAACCTGCTGGACCAAGAACAACTTTTAGAAAGTCTGATAGTGACAAAGTTTGGGTACCTATTAACAACATTTTAAGAAAACTGTCATTTCAAGAACTCAAAACGGCAAGTGGAAGAGTATATTATATATCACAAAAACTATTTGATGAAATAAGCATTCTTCTTAATGCTCATTCCAACTATGAAAACATGAAATAAATGTAAGTCCTTTTCATTTTTTTGATGATTAGTTTTTCGTAACACATAACACATAATAAAATTGTTGGTCTTTAGCCTAATTATATAATATTAGCCAGCAATATTTAAGCCCTCCTTGTAGGCCTACAGTTAAAAACTTTCAATTACTGAAGCACAATACAATTATGAATCTTAAAAGGCCTTTAAAAATGAATAGTTTTTACCAAATTTTTGATATGATTAATACTGTCACTGAAAGTGGTGTTATACTTAACATTTATACAATTTTAAATTTGTTTAAACAAGTAAAATTTCTAATAATATTTGTTATTTTTAAAATATTATAGTTAAAGGTGTAAAGTATTTGTTATTTATTTAAAAGTAGTAAATTATCTGCCTTTTGAAGCAATAATGGTCAGTATTTAACCTGTAGACAAGTCGCTACTACACTAAACACAATGCAATTTCTTACCGTATCCAAAAATTCATAACTTTTACCATAGTAAAATATCAATGATAAATCTTTTACTGTAGTTTCCTCATATACAGAAGAACATCCTGTGGGAAAATTAAGTTTTTATCCCATGTCCCATCAGAGATATTAAGCTCCAAACTTTACGAAAATTGATAATTCGATAATTTCCAAAAAACTGCCAAAATTAGAGGACACATATATCAGTGTTATAACTCTAGCTACATAGAGTACACTAGTATGTGTAATTGAATAAAAAATATTAACAGTATTTACAAATCCTTCATGGAAAAAATAGGCTTCAAAAAGTGAAATTTATTTGTTTCCGTTGCTTGTTTTTAAACATTTTTTTCACCTATATGGGTACAAATTAGACTGATTATGATCATAACCAAAATTAAAGATGGGAAAATGATGAACAAAATGAATTTGGTTGCATTTGTGTAACATAAGAAGAAAAAAAGATATTTTTGTTTACATTAACGTCTGCAAACTCAAAAATCACCGTGCGCTGCAAGAAAAAAATGGCCGCTACAAAAAAATTGGAACGGATAAAAATTTAATAAAATCATTTTTGAGCTTCCTTTATTAAGCTGAATTTAATAATATTTCATAATATTCCTCTATGACATGAGGGAACAATAGGTAAAAAAATAAAAAATATTAAAAATGGTCCAGCAACCAAATTATTTTTTATTGGATCACTTGATATGGATTGACCCAGTTGGATTGTATGATGTATTACTAACCAAAAGGTATAATACGACTGTTCAAAAACTTTAAGTACTTTACAGCAAAACATTATACACTGATATTGAACTAAAAGTCTAAAGGAAAGGCCAAGGACGTTTTGTAGTTCCTACAATTACACTATCCCGTAATTATTGTTGCGACGTTCCACGATCCCAGTGACTAACGCAATAACGGTCAACAGATAACAGATGTTTTGTATCATATCATTAGCTTCATATTGGAGCTTATTGTAGAAATTTTATAAATTGCTCGTCCACATGAAAAGGCTGTTAGGTAAATTAAGGATGAGTGGATGTCTACCGAAAACAAATTGACTTTACAACTTAATTAATCGTAGTAAAACTGAAATTATTTGTAGGCTTATAAGTTCTATTTTTTACCTCTTGAACAAATTAAATACTTTGAGCAATGCTCGGTCCCCTGGTACTTGTGTTTTAATCAAACATTGTCACATTTTACATTACTACAACAGAAACAAATGATTTCTTGAGGTCGTTTCTAGTGACCTTTGTGGTCCGTTTGAAACTAAAACATATGATGATATGAAGTACTTTCGTCTCTTTTCTAGACCATTATTCTCAT